CTGGCACCCTCTTTGCTGTTGCAGCTCCACATGCAGCGGGAGGGTCTTCATGCCACAGAGACGGATGCGGACGCACACACAGGGGCAGACGATAGAGGGTGGTTCAGCCAACGCCCACCCCACCCACCCACCGCAGACCCACAGCCCTGGCCTCAGCCTCTGGCCGGGGCCTTCTCGCCCCACTCGCAGGCCTGCGGAACTGGCTGGATTGGGGGTGAATTAGGATGCCTCAGTGTCTGCACCGACACTGGCCTGGCAGGGGGGTGTGTCATGAGCTCTGCCAGCCCGGGGCTGGGGGCGCTGGAGTCATTGGAGCACGTGGCTTAGGCATGGAGCATCAGGGCTTGCTCTGGCCTCATCCAACATCTTCCCAGGTACCCAATTCACAGCCTGGCCAGACCAAGTCTTTAGTTCAGCATCTCCTATTGGCCTCAGATGAGGACAGGAGGAATGGGTTGGGCTGTGGGCAGTTTCCGGTGCTCTGAATGCATCTGCGAATGGTGGGGCATGACTTACTTCACAGGAGACAAAGAGGGGAGTAAGACGACCTCAGGGCCCCCTTTCCAACCACAAGGGAGGAAGGAAGGCTGTAGGCATCCATAATGGCACAGCAGAAAGTAAAAGGAGGCCGGGCGCGGTGGCTCATGCCTGTAATCCCAGCACTTTGGGAGGCTGAGATGGGCGGATCACCTGAGGTCAGGAGTTCAAGACTAGTCTGGCCAACATAGTGAAACCCCGACTCTACTAAAAATACAAAAATTAGCCAGGCATGGTGGTGGGTGCCTGTAATCCCAGCTACTTGGGAGGCTGAGGCAGGACAATTGCTTGAACCCTGGAGGTGGAGGTTGCAGTGAGCTGAGATTGCGCCACTGCGCTCCAGCCTGGGGAACAGAGCGAGACTCTGTCTCAAAAATAGCAAGGAGTCAGCTCAGGCCAGCGGTTCAGCGCAGCACCACGGAGTCACCTGGCTGGCCTTGCCTCGGAGGCCTACAAATTCCTGGGTATTGGAGAAGCTCCTTAGCCTTGCCGAATGTCAGTTTCCCCGTCTGTACCACATGTGTCTGCCTCCTCGACCGTGCCAGGTTTCCATGCATGAATGCATAGCAAGCATTTGGTGCTGAGCCTGACGTGTAGGAAGTGCCCAGTAAATGTTAATATTGGCAGGGAAGGCTTATTTTTCCCCCACATTTTCCCTTAAAGTTAGGATACTGATTTTATGAGGAAAAGAAAGCCTCAGTTCCAAAGGGATGGAGTGTGTGAATTTGTACTTCTTCCCTCGGTCTAACGTAAATGGGAGAAGCCATTGAGAGGAAAGTCTTGGTTTCTCTGATTGCAACCACAGATCATCCCCAAGCCCTGCCCCACACCTGAGACAGGCGTGCTAGGTGGGGGAAGAATGGAGACGGAGGGACTGTGGCGAAGGAGCAAAGCCACAATAACGCCTGGAAGCCGGGGCATGCTCTCCGCATGTAAGGGTTTAGGGTGTGAACTCCATCAGTGCAGGGAGGTGGGGGGCTCTGAAGAAGTCTGTCATCTTAGGCAAGCTATGCACCTCCTATGCATGAGGGCACAGAATAGGCATTCAGTAAGACGGGGCTCTCACGGGGGTCACTCTTGACCCCCCTACCTCTAAAAGCTCTGGGCTTCTCTTGGTGCTAGTTGCAAGTGCCCCTGGCCCCCTGGGAAGACCCGTGAGCCTGTGCTTCAGCGCATCCCCTACGCTCCACACACGAACCCTGGCAAGGTCTCGCCTCCCCTGAGGGTGGCTCTAGCCAGCTAACTACAACTGCATGCAGGCCATGGGCAGACATGGCCTTGAAAGCCCTCTGTAGGACAGAGCAAGATCTCCCTGGCTGGAAGCAAGCGGCTGGGTACACAGAGCTCTCGTGATGGTGCCCGAGCAGGGACTCGAGACTTGAGGGCGAGTGAGCTCAACACCCTGCGAAGGTTGACCTCAGAGGGCGCTCAGGGGAGGGACCCGAAGGTGGACAGGAGGGATGTTTCCTCCGATCCTTCAGTTGTTAGTCATAAGCAGAAGGGCCAGGTGCTTTCTGGTCAAGAGTAAATGATGCCTGTTTTCTGGAATCAGAAAGAATGGAGGAAGAGAGGACCCAAGTGTGCCTCACTTGCTCTGTAATGAACCACCTTGTTGGGTTGCAGGGCGGCTGTGGTGTCATAGGCAGTGCAAAGTGGTCAGAATGTGCATAAGACACAGAGCTGGGCCTGGCTTCTGTGCTCCTACAGGCTACTTCTGTCCTCAGCCTTCAAAGCTGTCCTACCCCACAAATACCAGACTGGTGGCTGCACAAAACTAGGAGGCCCTCGTGGGAAGACAGGAGATGGACAGAGCTCACAGCATGAAGACAACACAGCATGACGGGCACACACAGACACTGGTGTGTTTGGTGGGGAGAGGCCATGGCTCAAACCTCCAGGGCTGGGCACCCAGGCTGGACTCAGCATTCCTTTGGAATCAGGAGCGGTGCTGCTGGAGTGGCCTCCTACCCCACACCTGGCAGGTTTGAGGTCCCTGGGTGTATTCTGTGGACTGGGGCATTCAGATGAAGGCCAGCCATATTTGGTCAAGAGGTCGGAAAAGGCCCTTCAGAGCATCGATGGCACCTTTCTGGTGTTGGAGGTGGGACAAGGTATGATTCACTGGGAAAATGAGGTCACAGTGGGACAGACAAAAGGGATCACAGGCCAGGTGTGGAGTGGGGTGGGGTGAGGGGTGATGGAGAAGTGACACTCACCGGTGGCCCAGGCCTGCCGTCCAAACCTGAAGCTCCCTGGACGAAGGGCACAGTTTGACCAAAAGAAGGGGAAGAGAGGATTGGGAGGGAGAAAAAGGGAACAATGGGGAGGGAAGAGGTGAGTAAAGCAGTGACTCTGGACAGACATAAATGCTGGTAATCAAACACAACTGGAGAAATAAGCTTGGGAGGACAGGGGATGGTATTCACATGGAAACCAACGAAAACATGGAGACACTGAATGCAGTGGCCAGCTGCTGAGCAGGCTGGGTGGAGGTCGGCGCGGATGGCCACCTGCTCCTCCCACTCCCGCCTCTCCTTTCTCCCTTTTTTCCCTCTCAGGAACCCCTCTCCCTTCAGTGTTACGGGGAAAGGGATACAGAAAGGAATGCTTGGAGAGATGTCTTGGAATCAGAGCTGTGCACCCTTCCCAGGACAGGTTTCACTGG